GAGCAGCCACTGCACTCCAGTCTGGGCGACAGAGTGGGACTCCAACTCAAAAAAAAAGAAAACCACTGATCTAGCCCAACTTCCCCCACCCCATTTTACAGAGGATGACATGCGGTTCAGAGAGGTGCAATGACTTGACCAAGGTCACAGTAAGCAGCATCAAAGTTAGGTTAAGCTAAGAATTCCAGACCCTTTCCCTTCCAATGCTAAAGAGAAAGAAGGCCAGATGTGGTGCCTGTGCCTGTAATCCCAGCACTTTGGGAGGCCAGGGCAGGAGGATCACTTGAGCCAAGGAGGTCGAGTCTGCGGTGAGCCGTGATCATGCCACTGCCCTCCAGCCTGGGCAACAGAGTGAGACTCCAACTCAAGATTTAAAATAATAATAATAACAACAAAGAGAGAGGAGTTAAAAGGAGCCCCACCTGGAGGAAGGAGGGGGACCCTGAGGCAGAAGGGTCTGAGCACCCTAGGACTCTGGTGACCCTCCAGGCCAAGGTGCTGATGGGACTAAGCTAGGTGCTCATGACTGCCAGAGAGTCTCTCCTGTCCCCATAGCCCATGGGCAGAGCAGCCCAGAGGCGGGTTCCAGGATGGACCCACACTCTATCATTCCCTTCACTGCCACCTTTTGTGTACTGGTTTCTGTCTTCCAGTTTTTTTGCCTCATTATCAAAGTATGGTTGCCACAACTCCAGCTATCACAGCCTCCCACCACAGCATTCAAAGAGGAAGGGTAAGAAAGGGGACAAGGGAGCTGGGTGTGGTGGCTCATGCACACTTGTAAGCTCAGTACTTTGGGAGGCTGAGGCAGGAGCATCTCTGGAAGCCAGGAGTTCAAGACCAAGCTAGGCAACATAGCAAGACCTTGTCTCCACAAAAATACCAAAAAAAGGGGAAGACCAAGGAGAAAGGCTTCCTTTTCTCTCTACGCTCACCTTCCATGGGGGAGGAAATCTCCCTTCCAGTCTATACACACTGCCTTTATCTCATCAAAAAGGACTGGATTATGTGCCCACTTCTATCCATCCCTGGCAAGAGAACGGGACTGCTATGGTTGCCATAATCCAGATCAATCAGGATTCATCCCCTGGGCTGAGCAGGTCATTGCCCAGATAAAACTGTTAGCAGGCCAGGTGTGGTGGCTCACGCCTGTAATCCCAGCGCTTTGTGAGGCCAAGGCAGTTTGAGCCCAGGAGGTTGAGACCAGCCTGAACAACACAACGAAACTAGTCTCTACAAAAAATTTTAAAAATTAGCCAGGTGTGGTAGTATACTCCTACAGTCTCAGCTATTCAGGAGGCTGAGGGAGGAGGATTGCCTGAACCCACATTGATCAAGGCTGGGGTGAGCTGTGATCATGCCACTGCACTTTAGCCTGGGTGACAGAGTGAGACCCAGACTCAGAAAATAAATAAAATTAAAACTGTAGGCCAGGTGTGGTGGCTCATGCCTGTAATCCCAGCACTTTGTGAGGCAGAGGCTAAAAGATTGCCTGAGCCCAGGGGTTCGAGACCAGCCTGGGCAACTTGGAAAAGTCTTGTCTCTATAATAAATTAAAAAATTAGGCCAGGCATGGTGGTTCAAGCCTGTAATCCCAGTACTTTGGGAGGCCAAGGTGAGAGGATCGTCTGAGTCCAGGGGTTCGAGACCAGCCTTGGCAACTTGGTGAGACCTCGTCTCCACCAAATCAAAAAATTAGCTGAGCATGGTGGTACATGCCTGTAGTTCCAGCTACTTCGAAGGCTGAGGCAGAAGGATCACCTGAGCCCAGCAGGTTAAGGCTGTGGTGGCCTTGAGCGACAGAGTGAGACTCCAACTCAAAGAAAAAAAAAATTTTTAATTAGCTGGGCATGGTGGCATGAGCCTGTGGTTCCAGCTACTTGGAAGGCTGAGGAAGAAGGATCACCAGAGCCCAGCAGGTCGAGGCTGCGGTGGCCACGAGCATGCTACAGCACTCCAGCCTGGGTGACAATGAGACTCCGACTCAAAAAAGAAAACAAAAAACTGCTAGCAATGCAAAAGGCAGAATGGTTGTTGATGGTCCCCTAAAAGCCTGACAATAGCTCATCTCCCCCAATACCCAACGTCAGCCACTGAGAGGACTGGACAGGCCTGTGTAGGTCCCTGCCACCCCCACAGCCACGTCTCACCTCCCTGTCCAAACCAGAGACCCGCAGCGGCAAACACCCCAGTCCAAGGGCCTCCCAGCCTCTGCCCCAAAAGCCTGGGCAAATGTGCAGCAGAGGCTTGGCGGTCACAAGGTTCTTAGCCACAGACTCCGCAGCTAGCCTCTTAACCTCTCTGAGGCTCAAGCGCTTCATCTGAGAAATGGATGAAATGGTACTCACCTCGGAGGGTTGACGGGGAGAAATCATGCAAGGTTTACAAGACAAGCATCCGGCTTTTTTTTTTTTTTTTTTGAGTTGGAGTCTCACTCTGTCACCCAGACTGGAGTGCAGTGGCCGCTCCCGGCCACCGCAGCCTCGACCTGCTGGGCTCCGGCGATCCTTCCGCCTCAGCCTTCCAAGTAGCCGGAATTACAGGCATGCGCTACCATGCCCAGTTGATTTTTGATGTATTGTAGAGATGAGGTCTCGCTGCTTAGTCGGGTCTCAACCCGCGGGCTCAGTCAATCCACTCACCTCAGCCTCCCAAAGGCACAGGATTACAGGCTGAGCCACCGAGCCAGGCTGCATCCGGCATATTAAGTGCTCAACAGAGGACGCTATTGTTTTTTTTGGTTTTTTTTACCTTAATAATAAGGAAGACTGCCGAGGAAGAGTCAAATGCTCCATTGTAGAGGGTGATGACGGTCGAACGGTGTTTGCCAAATAGGTTCCCAATCTAGGGAAGACAGGACCAGACCGAATCACTTAACTCCCGAACAGGTATTTCCTGAGCACCCGGCATGGGCCAGGTCCTCTCTGTACCCAAGCCCGGCCTCTACCCCATAAGCGCCCACCCTGGCTTGGGCCAAGCTCCCACCTGAGTGAGGCAACCGACTGCCTGGCTTCGAGCCACCTCCCACCTGCAAGTTGGTGATGAGAAACAGGATTCCCCCAACGGTGAGCATCGGCATGGCCAGGAAGAGCAGCACAGCTGAGACTGGACCAGCAGAATTCAGAGGCAGGTGGTGTCACAAGGCAGCCTGAGCGGCCCCAAACTCCACTTCCAGTGGCTATCAATTCCCAACAACGCTGGCGTCAAGGCCCCAATGCTAGCCAGCCTTCTAGTGTCCTTTACAGGTCTTAGGATACTGGCCAAGCTCCCCCAAATGTCCCTGTGGAGGGCTCCTGGGCCAGCTTCTTCCCCACTCAGTCTGTGGCAGGCCAGGATGTCTAGACAGAGGCAGGACTCAAACTGAAGCCACTTCACTAAACCACAAGCAGCCTGGACTATGCATCATCCTCAACAGGAAGAGGACCTTGGACTCAGCCCCTGGCTCTGCTCCCAAGCCCAGCCTCTAATTCCCTGCATGACCTTGTGCTGGTTCTGAATCTATGCCTCAGTCACTTCATCTGTTAAATGGGAACAGTCCCTGCTCTTCCACCTCACATGGGTCTATGGGATCTCAGTGAGAAGATGGCCACTGTCTTTCCTTCATCCATTAAACCGAGCACTTCCTCTGTGCCAGCCAGTATGCCTGGCATTGGAAATATGAGATGAGTAAAAGATACTCCTTGCCCTTGAATAGAATGACACAGAAACAAATCGTTACAACAGGTCTAGAGAGTGTGGGATCAAGGCAGATTAGCTCAAGGGCTGGAGCAGGGGACCCCTTGGGAAATTAGTCTTTCCCAAACCACAGACTTCTGTCCATCTTTGTGATTTTGGCCATAACCTATGGCCTTCCTATTATTTGCTAAAATGTTTCAAGTTGATTCACTTTTATCCAGAAGAAACCTATTTTTAAAGGATACTTTGTATCACTACTGTAAAAGAAAACACTTGACATTGCTTGTCATGAATAGAAAGTAACTGTAAAAATAAATAAATACACTGAAAGGTAAACAATGTCATTAAATTATAGATGGATGCAGTTACCCTCAGAATGCCTGAAATCTGGGACCTGCTCTTGCCATTATAGACCGGCCCCACATCGAGATTTTCTTTCATGAAATTAGGACTGAAAGAACCAGAAAGAGAATAGCCTGCCTACCAGGTGATGGGGTGTTTGTCACCATAGTTAACATGCCTGCCCCTCTCATTCTCTTAACTACTATGCTATCCCTTGAGAAGCCCTAAAGAGCTAACTTGTATTTGCACTATTTACTGTTCAATGTCTGTCTTGATGAAATGTACATCTCTTGGAGTACTAAACATTAGTGGAGACTCCTTTCACAATAGAGTCATTGTGGTCTCAATGCTTTTTCCAAAAACAAAACATCCTATATAATAGGGTAAGAGGAGGATTGCTGCTCAGACGATTCCCAGCATGAGTCAAACATTACCCAGCTACCAACTCTGCACTCAGTCGTCTAAAAATCGTTTACAGGCTTTTAGAGTAGGTATGGCCAGTTTGATAAGGAGAGAGGTTTGAAATAATTGGCTTGAGGTGCCAGGCTATCTCGTGAGAACTGTTTGGAGGAAGAAAACACTGGACCTCCATGTTTACCCAGCAAGAGTGGAGACGACCTCATGACACTGTCTGGTTTCAGCTTAGCTACCACAAATACTGGCTATGTACTTTCCTTCCCTAAACAAAAAAACTGAACCATGTGAACTGACGCTGGGGAGGAACATTGGGAGGCACTCCTCAGTCAGAGTAAGAAGAGCCCAGGGGTTCGAGAGCAGCCTGGGAAACTTGGTGAGACCTCGTCTCTACAATAAATCAAAAAATTAGCCGGGTGTGGTAGCGCGCGCCTGTAGTTCCAGCTACTTGGAAGGCTGAGGCGGAAGGATCGCCGGAGCCCAGCAGGTCGAGGCTGAGGTGGCCTGGAGCGTGCCATTGCACTCCAGTCTGGGCGACGGAGTGAGACTCCAATTCAAAAAAAAAAATTTAGCTGGGCACGGTGGAGCACACCTGTAGTTCCAGCTACTTGGAAGGCTGAGACAGAAGGATTGCCTGAGCCCAGCAGGTCGAGGCTGTAGGGGCCGTGAGCGTGCCACTGCACTCCAGCCTGGGGGACAAAGTGAGACTCCAACTCAAAAACAAAAAAAAAACAAAAACAAACAAAAACCAGGACAGCCAGAGGCTGGCACGCTGGCCCCACTTCCCACTCATTTTCTGTGGCCTTGGGCACGTCTTGGCAAGGGTCCAAGGTCCTCATCCTGTCAAGGACGCACAGGCCAGGCTGCTTGTGGTTTAGTGAAGTGGTCTGTTTCTCCTCTGCATAATGAGGAGATGGAGAATAAATCAGATTGGAATCTTCAGATTTTTACTTTCTTTTTTAATTTGGAGACTCGCTTTGTCACCTAGGCTGGAGTACAGTGGCGTAATCGTGGCTCTCTGCAGCCGCGACCTGCTGGGCTCAGGGGATCTTTCTGCCTCAGCCTTCCAAGTAGCTGGGAACTACAGCCACACGCCACCACATCCAGCTCATTTTTTAATTTATTGTAGAGACGATGTCTCGCCACGTTGCCTAGTCTGGTCTCAAACCCCTGGACTCAGGCAATCCTCTCACCTCCACCTCCCAAAATGCTGAGATTACAGGCATGAGCCACCACGCACTTGGCAGTAAGGGTATTTCCAACACTATCATTCATATTATCGTTTCATTAAAGAGATAGAAATCTGAACGCATACATGGAGGATATAATGTTTTGAATAAATTCTTCCTTCTGAAGCAATCCCGCTCCACCATCCTTCCTTTTCACATTTTCTCAGTAGACTAGACAGTTTTCATAGACCAACAGATCAATATCCCTCAGGGACTCTTTCATTGTGGCTCTCTGAATAATCATACGGTCTGTATGTCCTGCCCACCACCCTCCTGCACGTGCCTCATCTACCAGATGCCCCCAAGCTTGTGACCCTCCCCCACCCCAGCCCACCTGGCAGTACACACCTGCAGAGGTGAAGGCTATAGTGAGCGTGGCGCTGGTATACAAGAATCTGAAACACACAAGGAGAAGACCATCAGAATAGGAGAGACGTGAGAGACAAAACGTGATTCTGCTCAGTGATTCTGCTCACTCAACCTCCAGGCTCAGGACCTGAGGGCATCATCAGCCTGGGAGTTCCACAGTACAGAGGCCTTTTGAGCCCAAGGCTCAGAACCAGGTGCAAGTCACCCTGATGAGATGGAGAAGTGGTCCTGACCTCGAAAACAGCGCATTTTGCTCACCCAGGTCCAGGCTAGGCTCAGGAGTCTTTTTTTTTTTTTTTTAAAGTTGGAGTCTCACTCTGTCACCCAGACTGGAGTGCAGTGGCATGCTCCGGGCCACCGCAGCCTCCTCAACCTCCTGGGCCCTGGAGATCCTCTCACCTCAGTCTTCCAAGCAGCCAGAACTACAGGCGCACGCTAACCACGCCCAGCTAATTTTTTTTTTAATTGTACACACGAGGTCTCGCCAAGTTGCCTGGGCTGGTCTCGAACTCATGGGCTGAGATTACAGGCTGGCTGTCTTTTGGTTTTTTTGTTGGAGTTAGGATCTCTGCCACCCAGGCTGGAGAGCAGTGGCAGGATCATAGCTCACTGCAGCCTCAACCTCCTGGGCCCCAGCGATCCTTCCGCCTCAGCCTCCTGAGTAGCTCGGAGTACAGGCACATTCCACCATGCCCAGATCTGAGTTCTAAGGCCTCCTCACCGTGCGACTTTGGGCAACGCTCTGCCCATCTCTGGGCCTCAGGAGCCTTTTCTGTTAAAAGGCAGAGATGGCACTGATCCAGACTCCAAACTTAGAGTGCTTTCAGGACCTCAGTCCCAAGGTCCGAGAGCTCCCTTAGCACTTGGGAGTCTTGCAAGGTGGGGGTAGGAGGAGTGGAGGTGATAAAAGCAATGCCCTAAGGCTGGAGAAGAGGGAGGGAGCAAGGAAGAGATAGGCAGCCAAAGACCAAGACAGACTGAGACAGTCATTATGCACCCAAAGCTTAGTGCCTCAGGGACCTGCCTTACCCTGCGGCTATTTCCCGGCCAAAGCCCTCCCTCATGGCCTGTCTGACAGCTGATCTCCCGCATAACTCCCTGGGGGCATCTGCTCAGTCTATCAGCACCCAGCAGGCCCCTGCTTATCTATCCCTGGCCACTGTAGCACCCCGTGTGAGCCACGATCAAGCCCCTCCTCTGCATAGCTCACCCCTCCAGTCAGAAGGACCTGAAATTTCTGAAAACTTTATGAGCTAAGCCCTTGGGGGGAGGGGGCTCTTGGGGGTGGAGTGGATGGAAGATTAAGCCTGAGAGACTCTGAGTAGGAGATGAGGACAAGGAACACCAGAGGTAAGGGCCGTGGAGTAGCAAGCTTAGGTTCTGCTGATTTCGTTAACCCTGGACCCAGGCCAGTCCTCGCAGGAAGTGGGCCTGGGCTCCTGCCCCATTGGGCACCTATATGGAAGAGCCTGTATGGGAGATGCAGTGTCCACACCCCTTATGGTATTCTTTTTTTTGAGTAGGAGTCTCACTCTGTCACCCAGGCTGGAGTGCAGCGGCACGCTCACAGCCACTGATGCCTCAACCTGCTGGGCTCAGGCGATCCTTCCGCCTCAGTCTTCCAAGTAGTGGAACTACATACAGATGCACGCCACCACGTCTGGCTAGTTTTTGTGATTTATTGTAGAGACGTGGTCTCGCCAAGTTGCCTGGACTGGTCTCAAACCCTCGGCCTCAGACAATCCACTCGCCTTCGCCTCCCAAAGTGCTGGGAAACTATGTGGGGCGGGGGATGGGATTAACAGTAGCAAATATCAGTCTGGGGATGGGGAAACACCTCTTATCAACAGGGTGCCTGAATGAAATGTAATTGTACACCTAATCCTTAACTGTACCCCACAAAACCATAATAAAAAATATTGATTAAAAAAAAAAGTGCTGGGATTACAGGCTGAGCCACTGCGCCTGGCCTCCTTATGCTATTCCTAACAGCTGCAGTGGATAAGCCCGGCCTGCCCTGAATATTCCTTCAAGCCAGAGAGGCCACTGCCTCTCGCCCACCTCTGTCCAGCCCAGGTCCTTGGGACTTACATGGCAATGAGGCAGGCCACAGTGGTCTTGAATCGGTCAAAGATGTGGCCGGTGGGGAATGTCATAAAGTTGTTCATGAAGGACGCCACAGTGAAGATCAGCGAGAACTTCTCATCCCTGGCTTCGCAGTCTGGAGGAGAGAAAGGGTTTCCATGTACCCCAGCCCTCGTACCAGGTGGGTATCCAACCTAGGCCGCTCTCCATCTTGGACAGTTCACCTGGTGGAAAGCTGTTACTTAAGGAGAGTTGAAATGTAACTGCCCAGGATTACCCATCAGGAGCTGGTATCTCCCTCCCCGGGCACCTTCTAGACCAAGGTGTGTGTGTTGGGGCGGGGGTTGTGTATCCCTCTCACCCTAGAAAGGCTGGCTGGGTGGGCAGAGGGCGAATCCTCCTACCCCTTCCCACCACCTGGGAGCCAGACTTAACTTCCTAAGGCATCCATCCTGCCTGTAATCCCAACACTTTGGGAGGCCAAGGTAAGAGGGTTGCTTGAATTCAGGAGTTTGAGAGCAGCCCAGGCAATAATACAAGACCTTATCTCTACAAAAAAAAAGGCCAAGCGAGGTAGCTCACACCTATAATCCAAGCACTTTGGGAGGCTGAGGTGAAAGGACTGCCTGAGCCCACCGGTTGGAGACCAGCCTGGGCAACTTGATGAAATCCCATCTCTACAATAAATTAAAAAATTAGCCGGACATTGTGGCGTGTGCCTACAGTTCTAGCGACTTGGAAGGCTGAGGCGGAAGGATTGCCTGAGCCCAGTGCTGTGGTGGCCGGGAGCATGCTACTACCCTCCAGTCAGTCTGGGTGACAGAGTAAAACTCCATTTTGTTTTTGTTTTTTTTTGAGTTGGAGTCTCACTCTGTCACCCAGACTGGAGTGCAGTGGCATGCTCACGGCCACCGCAGCCTCGACCTGCTGGGCTTCGGC